TCGCTGTACAGTGCACACCCAGAGGGCACCCAGGGCACTGAAATTGCTGTATTTGCACTTGGGATTGAGACATTTATGCCGTTGTCTCTGCACCGAGAGAGAGGACATTAATATTTCCAAATATTTGATCATCTCTATCTATCTATCTATCTATCTTGTGCGATTCTCTGTCGCTCTCCCAATCTGTGGCGATCTGGCACGGGCTACTCGGCAGACGGGCCGCCCTTGAAAGTAGTCTGCAGCTGGCCCTCACTCCTTGCACCTAGTCTCAGGATAGATCTTCAACCGACACAGTCTTGAACCGACCTCCGCGTCTTGGATCGACATTGTCCTCGGTCGAAATGTTCCATGCCGATCTGTTCTACGAAGGAGAACAAGCAACAAACTTGAAGCTGCCACAGTGCCTGCCACGGGCTTGAGAAAGATGCCACCAACCATCAGCACGGCTGTTTGATGATCGGCACAAAATAGTACGAGACGAAACAGGAGGAGGGAGGAGGAAGGAGGAAAGTAGAAAAGGCCAGGCGTTGCCTGCAGTGGAGGGGGAGGTGGAAGGGGAGGGGGGCTGGTTTCAGGCAAAATTAAACATAATCATGTGCTGCATAAATATGCGAGTGAGTGGAGAGTGGAGTGTGGAGAGTGGAGTGTGGAGAGTGGAGTGTGGAGAGTGGAGTGTGGAGAGTGGAGTGTGGAGTGTGGCCCTTTGCTATTGATATTTGGATAAAGGCAGAGCAGCGACTGCCAGAGTTTGCACAGTGCAAACAATGTGCATTTCTGGAAGAGAGGGACCCACATCCACATCTACACCAGGCACCCAGCACCCTGCACCCAGCACCCACCGACAGTTGTTAGAGTTCCAAATCAAACAGTACACTCCTCGTCCTCCTCCTCCTCCTCCTCCCGCTCCATGCCGCACACTCACACACACACACAGACACGACACGGTACGATGAATATGTTTATGCCAGTTGGCTTTGCAATAACTTCATAAATATTCACGAGGAAGGAACCGAACCACGAAGCATCTCCACCATGCTCCATGCTCCAATCCTCAAATCGATGCACACAAAATTTAAATTCAAATTCGTTAAAACAGAAGAGACACTGACAGAACAGAGCAGAACAGAGAAGGGAAGAGCATAATGGAGGAGATTTAATGGTGAGTCCCGGGCTATAATGCAATTATGATTTGACCGAAACGAACCGAACCGAACAGAACCGAACCGACTGTCAATTAAATGACAAATTTACAACACTTGCTCCCCCCCCCCCCCCCCCCCCCCCCCCCAACACACAGAGAACACAGGCAATGCCCAGGCAGGGCCCAGGCACAAGCGATGGCCGATGGAATAAAATCATATAAAATATCAATAAACCACACAAATTTATGGCAGAAACATACACAGAGCGAGAGGGAGAGAGAGAGAGAGAGAGAGAGATACAGAAAGATGGGGGAGAAGTAGGAGAGACCGTTGCAAGAGTGAGTATCCGTGTCCTGCAGCATTGCATTGCATTCTGCTGGATGCTCTCTCCACTCCACATCCGTTTCCCAGGCTCGTAAATAAAATGCACTCCTTGCCTCGACCCCCAGCTCCTCCCTTGCAGATCCCGAGCCACAGCCAGAGCCAGAGCCACAGCCAGCGGCAAAACGATGACGAGCTGACGATGTCATTGTAAATACCATAAAGAAAATCGTTGCCGACGTGCGGTATCCCTCGCATGTCCCTCCCGTGTTGTGCCTTTTGCCTGTGCTTTCCTTTCCTCTCCTCACCGCTCCTTTCCCTCTAGAAGAAGAAGCCGTCGCCGTTGCCGTTGCCGTTGCTGGCCAAAGGAGCATCCGCATCCAGCATTGAGCATCCAGGAAGCCCTGCAAAATGTTATTTATTGGAATTGTGTAATAAATGTTACCGAAAGTGCACTCGACATAAACGAAATGTTGCATCCACACGAGTACATCCATTGCCAGCATCGAGGCTCCTGGCATTAGGAGCCCGTCCGCGCCCGCCAGCCCTCGCCGAGAGATGCAAATGAGAAGGAGCAGCAGCAGTAGCCAAGGATGCCATTATCCATTATCCAGCATTACGTGTGTGTTGAGAACCGAACCCCGAACACCGAACACCGAAGCCCAGACATATCAGACACATCAGACACATCAGACACATCGGCATCGGCATCATGGCACTGACAGTGGCTTCTGGCCAGAGAGATCTTCATTACCGCAGGGGGTTCCGTTTTCATTTCACCTTGAGGGAAACTGGCTTCAGAGATGTCTTAATGTTACGCGCTCTATTCCTGCAAACAGGATTCATGGGTTGTTTGATCCCAGGGTTGTTTGATACGTCCTGCCGGCGCCTCTCAGGGTTACGTGCTGATCGCTCACTTAGAGCAGCAGCCAGCCTCCACGTGCAAGGAGCCACCAATCGAGCATTGGCCAGTCTCGCCCTTTGGACACCATTCCTGCCTCCCCCTCCAGGCGCCCGAGCTCCAGGGCTCCTGGGCTCCAGGCTCCTGGCAGCTGCATTTTTGGCCAAAACGGAAACTGGTCCTTGGGGCGTCGACGCTTTGGCTTTGGGCTCTCGGTGCTCTCTGTGTCTGTGGCGAGTGACAGGCCCACAGCCACATATGGCCACGGCCACCCACAGGATACAACTGCTGCTGTTGCTGCTGCAGATGTGTCTGTGGCACCTTTCCGTGTGTGTGTGCGGACTGCTCTTTGTCCCGAAAATTTCCATCGATTTGATTTATATGCAAAATATTTAAATTTTATTGCCAGTTTGCATATGGCCCATACCAACAGGAGCAGCAGGAGCAGCAGGACCAGCAGGACCAGAAGCAGTAGCACTAGCAGGAATCCCCTGGGCTTAAGTGAGATCGATAGTTATAGTTGTAGTCCAGACACACACACCCCATCCAGATATATGTACATGCGTTTATACATATCCACATGTTCCTGGGGGTCGTTTAAAGAAGAAGCCGCCTGACAAAACAGCTGAGCTCCACTCCGCTCTGGAGTGTTGGAGGAGTAATTTATGCAGCTTTTCGGTAATATTGAAATCGAAATTTAAATGCAAACAAGGGAAAGTGTTGGGGCCCCAGCACCTGGCCCCTGGCCCCTGGCCCCTGGCACCTGGCACCTGGAAGGGGTAGGGGAGGGCCAATGGGATTGGGAATGGAAATCGATTACGGGAAGTGCGAATAAATTACAGCCCAAATAATTATGTGCTCGGACAATCGATTACCATATTGGCAGGTTGTGTTCTATCAATGCCTCCGTTTATACCTACTATGAGGGTCTCTGTCTCTGTCTCTGTCTCTGTCTCTGTCTCTGTCGGGATGGTATCTGAACATCTTATATCTTATATGTATATCAGGCAAGAGCAGATTCAAGGAGCAGCTTCAAATTCAACTAATGAGTCCTTGAGCGGAATTGTGTCTCCTTTGGAGCTCGGCTGGCTGCAACTTTATTCATTTTTCATACTGTCAGAGCAGCAAGAATCCCTGGCATGGCAGGGCAGGGTGTGGGCAGGGCGTGGGCGTGTCAGAAATTATGTTGATTGTTTGCTTTAGCCAAGGAAATAATTAAGCAAGACGAGGCACAAGCACAGGCAGCACAGACAGCACAGACAGCACAGACAGCAGACAGGAGGCAGGATTCCACGGAGACAAGGAGCCGTCGCAGAGACTCCGTCGCACTTGGCGCCAAGTCAAAAATATATGTATGCATTTTCTCGGGATAAATTTCCCGGAGAGCAGGAGCCAGAGCCGGAGCTGGAGCAGGAGCAGGCGGCAAAAAACCAAACCCAAATCCAAATTGTCAACAGCTTTTTGTGCGTCGGCTCCTGTGTGTGTGTGTGTGTTTTTTTTTTGTTGGGAAAACTTAATCTAATTAGGGGGCTACTTGGAGCTGAAGTTTTGATTTACATTTTGGGGCTGCCAGGAAATCGCAGACCGAGTGGAAATTAGCCGGAAAGGACACCGACACCGACACCGAGCCAGCTCTGACCCAAAAGCGGCATCAATTTCCGCTTAAATCGTTGACGATATTCTTCGCTAAAACGTTCCTGGCAAATCCAATTGAAGTTGTTCGAATATGTGCGGCTTATATCGTATTTGGGGTTCGATTGCAGTTCGATTTTGGGTTGATTCCATCGCATTTCATTAGGGAGGAGCCAAAGCCAATTCTAATTCCAATTCCATTTTACACATGCTTCATTTGGTGATTGGGAATTCGTGTTCGGCCCACAACCGACCACATTGTTTAATACTCGTTGAATTTTATTCATTTATTTCGCTAAATGTGGAAACGACCCAGCCATTCAGCGCTACAGCGCTACAGCGCTACAGCTCTGAGGGATCCTTTGTCCTTTCGAATCTTTTGTTTGGCCAAACGGGCAAATATTTAACAAATGAGAAGAGGGTCCGCTCGCTTGATAAGAGCGATAAGCCTCGTCTCGCCATGCAACCATGAATAAATTAGTTTGCCACGGGGCACGTCCCCGCCCCGCACCAACCGCGCCGTCCGCGCCGTCCGCACCGCCCGCACCGCCCCACCCCCCCCCCCCCCCCCCCCCCCCCCCCCCCCCCATCAAACGCCATCATTCCTTGGGGATACTATACGCAGCAGACTGGAACATCAAGAGCCCGCTATATAAGGTAACGATTCCCTGCCTCCGTTGCACCAACGAGGCACCAACGGCAGAAGCCAGGAATAACTCATCCATAATCGAGTCCAAACGGAATCGTTGTATGAGCTTTTGGGAGATCTGTTGTAGCCACTATCGGTATAGTCAGTCGATCGGAGACACTGTTTCTGCATCTCGATTGAATGCGAAATGCAAATCTGATGATAAATGTATATTGGATTTGTATTTTGTGCTTTTGGAGAGATCTAAATCGCTTGGAACCATCTCTCATTTGCAACTCCCTTCCCCCTGGAATCACAATTTGAAGCAAATTTACTCGCAGAAGTTGGCTGTGGAACTATTTGTCGAGCCCTCAGTTCTGTCTAGGTCCAGATTTGCTCATTGTGTAATCGAGAGTAGTACGGCTCACATCGTTGTGATATTTGTGCGCCGTCGAACAAGTCGAAGTGGACCTCTTGCTCGCCTTCGCCTTCGCCATCGTCTTCGCCATCGCCTTCGCCATCGCCCATTGGTGGCAGCCTTGCGCCGAAGTGTGTGTCCGTGGTCGAAATGGATCTCTGGGTAAGTACCGAAAAGTGAACCTTCGATGAACCAGCCCGCAATTCCCCGTGGTTGTCCATTTCTACATTCCTGACACCGAAAGCAAAGCCAACTTCATGTTTAAAATAGGGGGACTTGAGTATTCTTTGTTTTCAATTTCAATTTTACTTGAGCAATCTCCTAGCCCGTCAACGTCAACAACCATCTGGAGAATGGTCCAGGTCCAGGTCCAGGTCCAGGTCCAGGTCTAGGTCGAGATCCAGGTCAAGATCCAGGTCAAGGACCACAGCCATACGCACTGCGGGTGTGGCTCGCCCTGGCCATGGGCCTCATGGGCCTGTTCAGCTTGCACTACGCCCGCATTCTGCGAAGCGTGTCCATCAGAGGCAGCATGATCGTGGTCAGCGTTATCTGTGTCGTCCTTTGCTCGGTGATCCGCTGCACTCTGGGCCCAGCCGAAGTGAAGCAGTGGCTGGACGCAATGTTGGAAGAGCCTTGGCTGACTATCCACGACGTGGAGGCAACTCAGCGTGCAACGCGCCGAGCAATCAAGCAATTCATCGCCACTGGAACCTATGTGATGTGGAAGACGTCGCGTCTACTGCTAACTTGCCTTCGTAGGCTGCACGTCCTCGGCTCGGCCATCGATTTGCCACTACTCACGAAGATCTGTAAGTCCACAGTCCGCAGCAGAGAGGCAGCCCTCTAATCTCGCCGGACTCCTTTTCCAGTATACGCTGGAGCCTTTGTAGCAGAAGCCCTGGCCAATCGAGCTCATGCCGCGTGGCGCGGCATCCGTAACCAGATCTCGAACCGACTACGACTGAATCGATTCTCTGACTTTGTCCAGTCTGGTGCAGCGGATCCATCCTGCGAGGCGTCCCACAATGAACACAAGCAATCCCCAACTGTGCTGCCAGAAGACCTGAATGGGGAATCAACTGTGCCACACTTCCTCGATGATCCAACCAGTAGCCTCGAAACCTATGATGAATTCGTTCAACATTTGAAGAAGGGCTCTTTGGAGTCGCATGTTATATGTATTTAGTGTTTATTTTGTTTCGTTTTTGTTTCTAGCCCAAAGAGCTGATGTTTGTTTATTAAATTGATTATTGTTTAAATGAACAGTCTGTGGAAATCCTTCGTTCCCTTTGGGGGATGCAAGGTCGCAGCATACTTTCCGCCATTCGAGTGTTGAAGACTTTTCGGCTTTAAATTGCATTAAAGCCGCCAGCAGCGGCAGCGCGACTTGGGCGCGATAAAAGTCGCGCGCCCAGAACGTGACAAACGACGGGGCTGTTAAAGTCGCAGGCAAACAAAGGACCAGAGCGGAGCAGAGCAGACCCCTGGCTGTATGGGCGGTGCGAGGTGTCGGGTGTGTTATGGTTGGGGCGACTCAGAGTCGGCGTTTACATTCTGGGGCTGGGGCTGGGACGGGGGCTTGGGCTTGGGCGTGGGCTTGCGCTTGGCAGTTGTTAATCATTAAAGCCGCCTTCGGGGAGTGGCCCAAGATTTTGGTCAGATTTATTCATTAGCCGTGGGGAATCGGCACGGACCACGGGAGGAGCATTAAATATTTAGGGAGTTGTCGTTCGTCCGTGGGAGACGAGACCGAATCCGAATCGAAGGAGGAGAAGGAGGGGAAGGAGGAGCAGCAGGAGGAAAAGGAAGTGGCAGGAAAATGGAGATGAAGATGGAAAAGGCTGTTGGCTGTTGGCTGGTGACTGGTGACACACCACCCCCACCCCCACTCCCACCCGCCGAAGCCCTTTTCTTCCTGCAATTTGCACTCAATTGCAATTTCCGCTTGGCGCTGCCATTTGCTACGTGCATCCCCCTCCCATTCCCTCCCCCACGCCTACGTGCTGAGGGTGGCGAAAACGCGCAGAAATTTGTTTTGCCATTTTGTTTAGTTGTTAGTTGTCCCCCACCCCTGCTCCGCCCCTGCTGTGGGGCGGGGAGGCATGGCGGTTTCTTTCCTTTTTTAAATATCAATATAAAACGTGACAGAATGGACTTTTCCCTGCACTGAAATTCGGCGGCAAGAGGGCGGTGGGACGGTGGTGCGGTGGGACGGTGGGACGGTGTGGCGGTAGCATGGCCCCATTTAAAGCGTTTAGCAAATCTTGGGACCGGGGAGGAGTATTTCCGTAAGCGGTTTAACTGCTCGGAACGTTGGCCAGGCATAAGTAGGGGCCGCACACGCATTATAATCCGTTTAGAGATGCGTGTGGGAGCCGACAGCTGCAGGAACATAATATACGAATTCCCAGCCTACTTGCCACTTGCTACTCGACACTCGACACTCGCCACTCGCCACCTGCCACTGACTTCAGGCAACACCTTCTTTCGCCTGTGGCATTGGCGATTTGTGATTATGATTCAAAGATTACTATCACCAAAGTTACAGTTAAGTAGGGAGAAGGAGAGCCTTGTGGAGGAACATTTCGTGTAAGGCCTAGGCCTATGGGTCGAAATCTGCCCAACAGCGGGGACAATGTCCCAAAAGGGAATGCATTTGCGAGTAGCCCAGTACAAAGCCACAAGCCCAAAGGAAGTTCGAATCAGATGCAGGAACTCCCCCATTCGATCGGACTCCAGGGAAAACCGAATAGAGCGCCATAGATACTCCCATCCCATTCAGTAGGCTTGGCTGTCCCGGTCGATTCTATTCATTGATTTTACATTGTGCCACGAACCTGACAACATTTCACAAAATGCCACTGCCGAACAAACAGACAAGCCACCAGACGGAGCTCATGGGCCAGTTTCGGGACAAGATGAAGGAGGAGTTGAAGAAGGAGATCACGGCAGAGCTCAAGAAAGAGGTCAAGGAAGAGATCATGGTCGAATGGAGAACAAGGAAGCAAAACAAACAGAGTCCGGAGCCTGAAAGGGACTCCTTGTTCGAGAAGGTCAAGGACCAGACGGTGCCACGGGTCGAAACTGGTCAGGAAAAGCAGCCCCGAGACCGGATAGACGCCAAGACGGAGATCATTATCGAGAAGCAGCAGCAGCAGCTGCCCAATATGATGGACGAGTTCATGGCGGAACTGATCGCAAAACTGAGCAAGCCGATCCCACCCTTTGACCCAATGGCCGCGAAAAATAAGCAGCCGAAGATGGAGTGCGATGCCCCGATCGACAGCAAAAAGGAGGTGAAGGTGATGGAGGACCTCTTCGATAAGATGACCAAACGGATCTTGGAGGAGTTCGTTCTCGAGAAGAAAGGGCTCCAGGAGGACCCCAAGGCCGAGCTTAAGAAAGAGCCCCTGGTCGAGGGCGTGAAGGAGCTCAAGGAGGCCATGTTTGAGAAGATAATAAACCGACAGGAGGAGGCCACTTCGATCGAGAGCAATAGGCCGCAGCAGAAGGAGCCGCTGATCGAGTACACGATGAAGGACACGAAGCAGATCAAGAGCCCCGAGCTGGAGAACGATTTCCAGGCGTTGATGGCCGATAGCCATGATAAACAGCTGAAGACAGAGCACGCGCCCATGTTCCACAACCTGAAGGAGCTGGAGGTGCAGAAGAAGATTCAGATGGAAAAGCTTACCAAGGAGTTCCGTGCGGCCTTGGCCCTGGGCATAAGGCACAGGCAACTGATCAAGGAGGAGCAGCAGACCAGGCAGCCGATTATCGATCAAGAAAGCAAGAAAGTGACTGGACTCAAGGCGGCGATCGATTCCACAAAGCAAATCAAGGAGGACTCGCACTCGGACCCGGACCCGGACCGCTTGACCAAAAAGCAGATGCAGGAGCAGAAGCAGGAGCAGAAGCAGGAGCAGGTCGAGCAGACAGGACAGAAGTACATTTCGCAGGAGGTCATGAACCAGAGAAAGCTGGAGATCCAGAATGGAACGATGCTGGAAAACTTTCGCATGATGTCCGTCAAGCTGTCGAAGAACTGCTTCCGCAACTGCCTCCACAACTTGTCCACGTCGCTGGATGCCCGGGAGCGGGCCTGCATCAGCGACTGCATGAGCACCTACATAGACTCGTACCGTCTGGTCAACCGCGCCTTCGTCACTCGCATCCACGCGGAGCACAAGAAGCGCCAGGAGCAGCGCCAGGAGCAGCTCTCAATGAGCAGCCACCAGAAGAAGTAAAGGTCGAAAGCGAGAGGCGAGGAGATGGAAGATTGATTACACGACAAATTGTTGCTGATGTGTTGTTATTGTTTTTACCTACTGTTTTGGAATTTATAAATACATGAAATTGTGTGTGTGGGCACTCGAAAGTTCTGTTCTGTTTTCTGTTTTCTGTTTTCTGTTTTCTGTTTTCAGTTGTGTTTAAAAGTGAAGAGCGAATGATGGTGCCATTATTATTCCCGTGGGACGGGGATGGGGGCCTGTCTGTCTGTTCGAATGGGTTTTCAGGCAGAAGTTGATTCCGTTTATGATGGCTCTCCAGCTGAGAAACGGTTTGCTGGCATTGGAATCCGGTTAACATCATGAACTGTTCTGTTCTCTGCTTCCCATCAGGGGCCCATCATCATCGCCAGACAGGGGCTGTGCGGATGATGGCGTGTGGCATGTGGGATGTGCGATGTGGCATTGGGCGGCCGGGGTCAAGGGGTCGTTGCTTCTCCAGTTTTCGGTAAATACACTGCTCTGCCTTTGAGGCTGCTGCTGCTGCTGCTGCGGCTGCGGCTGCCTGAATAGCAGGCCGCTGAATAGCGGCAGCCTCTGGTTCGCATTAGTGACGTCGGTCCATCATCTATGGCCCCATCCAGCCAGCCGTCTGCACATTCTCCATTATCCGTTCTCCATTCTCCATGGCTCCGCTCTGTGCTTTTTGCATTCAGGATGCGTGGATGCTAGATTTGGTTGTAGTCCCTTTTCCCTTTCCCCTTTCCCCTTTCGCCATCGCATTGAGCGAATGCTTTTTGTCCATGTCCATGTCCTGGGCCTGTGGTCCCCTTCTGGTCCCGTGGACTGGTGACTGCTTTATGAATGCATAATTTTATTATGCACAAATTCTATTTACATTCTATTTCACGTCGAGTGAAGCGGTTCATGAAGCCAGGCCCGGACCGCGGGTCGCTCCGGCAGTTCCAGCGGTGCACCTGGGGCCCGGCCAGCCACACGTTGGGAACTCCTCGACGGCATCTCGCAGGCGGATTTCATTGTAATTAATATTTGCATTTCAATTGCATTTTGGCCGCCCTCTAAGCCCACAGGCACACAGGCTTTCTAGCCCACACAATTATCACATATGGCGGGGCATTGATTAAACATTTAGCGGCGCATCGCTTCCAAAAGTATTTGCGAGGACTCCGTCCTGTCCCCTGCGTCCTGTCTCTCTCTCTCTCTCTCTGTCTCTATATCTGTCTCTGTCTGGCTAATTTTGGGCTGACATGGGCACCTCTAATGGGGGGGAGGCTGGATCTGTGGGATCTGCTGTTTATTGGGTCTGCCAACCGAAAGTCAGCCAAATGGAAACCTCAACAGAGCTTGGGCCAGAGGATTAGGGCAGGGATTGCGTTTGGGGATCGGAGTTTGAGTTTTTGGGTACCCGGACATTGGCATCTGGTTATGGCACCAGGCGATGATTGCTTCCCCCAGAGCGACATCAGCATCAGCATCGGCATCGGCATCGACATTGACATGGTCCAGTGCCTATAAATCAACAGCTGCAGCAGTTTTTTCCACCAGGAGCTGGTAGATGGGAGATGGGAGATGGGAGCTGTGAGTGGAGGCTGGCAGTGGGGCGAGTTGAAATCTTTTCAAGTGGTCAACGGACACAAATCCCACGAACCCGGGGCCCGCATCCTTGTGCCTTGTGCCTTGTGCCTTGTACCTTTGCGGTTGAATTAAGGCAAACAAAGGGGCAACCGGGCGAGCTCTTACGAGTGTATGGCTCTCTGGCTCTCTGGGTCTCTCTGGTGGATGGAGGTGCAGCGGTGGCAGGGCTTTGCTTAGATTACGCATACGCCGTGTTGTCCCCCAAGTGCGAGGACGAGTGCAAGTTCCCCCCCGGCCCTCTCTATCTCGACTCTGAATGAGGTCGAGAAAAGAAAGTGCAACACACATGAGGAAAGAGGAAAGAGGAAAGAGAGAAGCACAAAAACGAAAAAGGGC